CTAAACAAATTTCACACTTGTAAGGTTTTTCTTCATGCCTTGCCAAATGTGATTTTAAATATCTTGTTGAAGTAAACTGTTTTAAGCAAATTTTACACTTGTAAGGTTTTTCTGCAATGTGCTTTGTTAAATGGTTTTTCAAATTACTTGTTGTAACGAACTCTTTTAAACAAGTTTCACACTTGTAAGGTTTTTCTCCAGCGTGTCTTCTTAAATGGATTTTCAAACCTTGTTTTTGAGAAAATTTCCTAAAACAAATCTCACACTTGTATGGTTTTTCACCACTGTGCACTCTCAAATGTGTTTTCAAATAACCTGTGGTATTAAACTGCTTAAAACAAATTTTGCATTTTTCCCCAGTCGCAACTTTTATAGTTTTATTTAATGTTTTTCCTTCAGCATGATGAATCTTATGATTTCCATCATAAGATGAATGTTCAATTAGTGTCTCCATAATTTCCACTTTGGTTTCCTCTTGAAGATAACCTAAAATACAAACCAGCTATAATATAAATATATAAGTATAAGGTAAATTGGATGTAAAAACAGAGAACTGCAATAATGAAATTAAAGAATAATAAAATGTAGACAGCAGAAGTATTGTGAATGAAGTTTTAGAAACCTGTGTTTCTTCTCTACACGCAATAGTCGCCCTATTGCCTTTTAATGCACACTCAATGCATTCAATGTAAGTACAAAAAAAATATGAAACAACAATGACCGTGAAAGTTCTACGAGTAATCATTTTAAACCAGATTTACGAACATTTTTTCCTGATATTAATGGCTTTGGTTATGACCAATTAGTCAGACTGTTATATCAAGATGATGAGGTTCTAATAGTTCCACCAAAGAATATAGACACATATAGAAGGACAGTTCAAATGGGCGATTTGGTTACGGTTATACTTCAAAACACTTCTTAAGATGACGATTGGGGGAAAGTGGGAAAGAAGTACGAATGTAGCCATTTATTTAACTTATGCATCCACGCTTCACAATAAAATCTGTATGTTTAATATATTAAATTGTTAATTTTAAAACTTAAAAGGGTATGAAATTTACAATATTCTAAGTATTTATTTTTTTATTACATGTAAATAAAATTTAATAACTTTGAATTAAAAATAGGTTTGTTCCAACACTATGAAAAACCATCACGTAACTTTTTATTATACTGTTTTCCTGCCAAAAAATTTACGAAACATTTTAAAAACTTTTCAAAAAATATATTCAACCATAAATTTTATTTTCTCAGGACTTTTCATTAATCTTTTTAGACTATTTTCGAAATTATTTCATTGAACAATTGTCCTGTTCGGAAAAGGATTCAATGACACTATTTATTAAATTTTGAAATTTTCCATTTCGCCGAAACTTCTAAACTTTCATTTCATCCATAAGCTTTTAATAACAACAAAAAGCATTTCTGACTTATTTTTGAAATATTTAACAGTAACTTTTAATGAACAGCCTATGTGAAAGTTTTTACGCTGTATGGGTAAGGACCATTTGCTTGGCTCGGGCATATTTGGACATATTCATAAAAGATTCAATTTCTGAAGTGGAAATTGAAATGACCATTTTTTCTCAGACAAATTTATTATCAGTAGTAATATCCCTAGGACATTGATAACGTGACATTTTAAATTTTATTTGGATGAAGTTGTCAAACTCGATCGTGTTGTCATAGGGATTGCACTGAATGCAATTATCAGTCTAATATTGTTCTGAAGCTACTATAATAAAATAAACGTATTTTTATCTTTAATTGTGGCTTATTCCCAGTTTAATAGTTATCAGTCTAATGTTGACATGACTGGGTAAAATTGTTCCACATGACACAATATGACGAAATTTGAATGGTTGTTGAAACAGTCGAAAAATTATCACATTAAGGAAAAATGCTGTAATTTTATAAACATGCATATATGTTATAAACAGCATATTTTATTTAAAAAATAAATGGACAAAATAAAATTTTTGTTCAAAAATTAATTACCATTAAGAAAATTGATTAAAAATATTTGTAGTCTCTTTTTAATTAGCAACCGATTATCAATGTATTCCCCGAATTTTAAATATACATTCGTAAAAATGTGAGTTTGATTAATTTTGTTATGAAAGTAGTGATCCTGCAGTGGGATATTAGATGATTACATTTAAATTCATGCTGAAAACAGATTTATACCATTTTTCGAAGTAAAACACTTGCACGTCACGATTTATACAAAGTGACGTCACTTGTATTTAAAATTTCCAGAATATCAACCTTAGAGATACAATTTTTCTAACACAGCTAATAATACGAAACCCATACGGAACTGCTCGATCTTTCATAGGCGTTAAAATGGTGTAATAATCAGAAAAATGTAATCGTCAATATATTGGAAATTTTAGAATTATATTGATTAAATAACCAAAAACATTTGTTATTATTAATAATATACATTTTATGAAATAACTCTTTAAGTCTAATATTCCACAAAATAATAATTTTAATTAAATATATTAGACAATTGTACGCAACTGATATGGAAATACTTCAAATTTTATTGACAGTTAAGCGTCTGGTAAAAGTGTTGCCGCTTTTTTAGAGTAGGGATTTTGTTTATGTTTTGATTACTTACACAATTTGATCATAATATATATTAATAAATTGTATTTATAAATATATATTAAATTTAGATTATTAGTTTTAAAAACTACTAATTTTTGTGTATTGTGATATGCCAAAACAAATAAATAGTCTGCAAGAAAGCTGATAAGCTTTCATATAAGATAGATTATTTTGAACAAAAAATAATGGTGGGACATTTTTACTATTAAAGCCCTAAAGGAGGTAAGTTTTCTTATGTATGTTAGTGTATTGTAGTAATCTTAAACCTAAGTCTATTTACTGTTAATATAATAGTTTGACAACTAGTTGACATTAAAAAAAAAAGTAAATACACTTAATTTTAAGATTACTCCTACTACAATACACTAAAATACATAAGAAAACATTTTAATACGAAATTATATATTCTAAACTTACCTCTTTTAGGGCTTTAATAGTAAAAACGGCCCGCCATTATTTCTCGTTAAAAAATAATCTAGCTTATCAGCTTTCTACAGACTATTTATTTGTTTTGGCATATCACAATCACAATACACAACAATAATTAGTTTTTACAGCTATTAATATAAATTTAATACGTATTTATAAATACTATTTGTTATTATAAAGGAAATCAAAACATAAACAAAGTTCCTACTCTAAAAAGGCGGCAACACTTAATACCACTTTTGCCACCTGCTGAACTGTCAAAAAAATTTGAAGTATTTCCGTATCAGTTGCATACAATTGTCTAATATATTTAATTAAAATTATTAATTTGTGGAATATTAGACTTAAAGAGTTATTTCATAAAAGTTATATTATTAATAATAACAAATGTTTTTGGATATTTAATCAATATAATTCTAAAATTTCCCATATAACGATGATTACATTTTTTCTGATTATTCCACCATGTTGACGCCTATGAAATATCGAGCAGTTCCGTATGGGTTTTGTATTATTAGTTGTGTTATTAAAATTTGAACTCCAAGGTTGATGTTCTGGAACTTTTAAATACAAGTGACGTCACTTTGTATAAATTGTGACATGCAAGTGTTTTACTTTGAAAAATGGTATAGATATGTACTAACTCTAACAACCCCTAATATTGGGACAAATTAAAATTTATAACAAATTCAGATTATATTATTGATTAATAATTATGATAATGAACTGAATAATATTTTAAATGATAAATAATCACAAAAATTAATTAACACTTTTTTATATGGGTGTAATAAAGATCATCAAAATAGTGACAACTAAACAATGAGAGTATGAAGTAACTGATAAAAAAACAAGATAGGGCAAATAGGCTGGGAAAACAACACAGCCAGACACTCTAACAAACATTACTGTTACTATCTCACTATATTCTAGAGTTTATTATTTCTAGTCAAATTGAGTGAATCACTGCATTATTTCAGTAAAATGGTAGGTGGTATCACCACAAAATTAAAGTGTGATAATTAAAAATTATTCAAGCAATAAAACAATATGTGGATTGGATGATGAACTTAATATTTATAAAACTACACTAACTACAGTGTGAAATTAGAATTATTTCATACAACTAGCCTACTTTATGGAGCTGAGACATGGAGAATAACCGAGAAATATAAGAAAAAGGTCGAAGCCACGGAAATGGGTGCCATCAGAAAATCGATGAGAATATCAAAAGCCGACAGAATACGGAATGAAGTGATAAAACAACAAATGGGTATAGAGAGCACTATAGTTGAGGATATTGAGAGAAAACAGCTCATATGGTATGGAGATGTGAGCCGAATGGGGGACGAAAGATTGCCTAAAAAAACAATGATGTGGCAACCCCCAGAGAAGAGAAAATGAGGAAGACCACCACAGAGCTGGAACCTGGGAGTTAGGAAAGCGATTAGCGCTCGAAATCTGGACGAAGACGTAACTCAAGACAGAATACAGTGGCATTTGGGAGTCGGACAACGACGTTTGACGTTATAAAACCAAATAAATATATATATATATATATATATATATATATATATATATATATATATATATATATATATATATATATATATATATATATATATATATATATATATATATATATATATATATATATATATATATATATATATATATATATATATATATATATATATATATATATATATATATATATATATATATATATTCATACAACCAAAGAATATAGACGCATATGTGTCCATATTCTTTGATAGAACTCTGTGGCTAGTCCACACACTCCTAAAAGGTTAAAATTTGAACATTATATATTGAAATAGATTTTGCCCAATGTTGATTATCGCCTCTTAGCATGGCAGTATGGGTTAGTACTGAACTTGCTATTAATAATGAACACATATTTATTTCGTTATTGTAATAATTAATATTATTTATTTACCTTCTTCATTTGTTGTTTTCTTTCCTTCAAATAGTGTTAATTTATGTTCATCTTGTTCTACTTTAGTATTTACAGAGAAAACATTTGAGTCTAAATAATCAAAAGAGTCATATGCATTTTCTGTATTAGGTTCTTCTTTAATTTCAATTTTGAAAGCATCCAAAGACTCATCACAGGCCTCATTCTCTGTTTTTATTTTACAAGTTTCCTCACTAGCTTCTTGTTTTATTTCCATATTAAATTTGATTTTATTTGCAAATATTTAATTACAAAAATAACTTTTTCGGACGACTTTCACAGCTTTCACATTTGGTCCCATTGAAGATAGCACAGCATAGGAACAAATTGTTTCTATGCTGTGAAGATAGCCTCAAATTAGCTGTCAATTAAGTTTCACAGAACGAAATATTGCGTTGGCAGTGTTGCCATGTTATTATAACGTATATGTTATATGCTTCAAATACAAAGAGATAAAGCTTTTAAAAGATAAATTTTTATCATGTTATTTTATGGATTCTCCAATTTTATACCTTATATAAAATATTAGGCAGACCTATAGAACAAGTGCCGAGGAACTGGCAGAAGATTAGTGACAGATCTGTATTTGGCGGTGTTGCCATATCACAAATAAATCCTTGAAAGAGCATGCGATATAATATTAATTAATGTTCAACATTTTTTTAAGTTTTTGAAAGAAGTTTAATTCATTAAAATTTAATTTATTATAATTTAAATTAACTTTAATTTTTTAAGCTTTTAAATTCTTAAGTTATTAAATTTAATTAAACATCTTTACCGATATATTTTTACTTTGTTATTCACATTTTAAGGATTAAGATGTCAATAATGATAATTTAATCTCTGCAATGTAAATTTGAAAAAATATCGATCTGAACAAGCTCCAGTAACTAGCTAATACATTAACAAAACGATATTCAGGTACCATTTCACCCCAAAATTATAAGAAAATAGTCATAAAAATCATAAAATTGAAATCTGCTAAAAATCTGTTGCAATCTGGCAACTACTGTTTTCAAAATTTTGACAGTATTGCCAAGTTTATTTACTAATCTACCAAAGGCCAATTATAATTTTTTTTTTTCTAATAACTAACTGCAACTAATATCAAAAGAAACAAATATTCATTCGTTCATGTTTCATATAAATTCAAAAAATTTAAAAAAATACCCGATTTCATAAAATAATATAATAAAAATGTACTGTTTCAAAGCATATTTGAGGCATAAAACATACACATAATAAGGACATGGCAATACCGCAGACACAAATTTGACATGACGTTTATGTCAAATTCTCGGCACTTATTCTATAGATTTGCCAATATTAATGAAGTAATATTTGTTTCATTTGATATTAGTTGTAATAAATTATCAGAAAATTTTTTTGGGCAATTGCCCTTTGGTAGGTTAGCGGATAGATTTGGCAATAGAGTCAGAACCCTCAAACCACCAGCTGCCAGATTGTAACAGATGCCTTTTAAATTTTATTATTTTTACTGACATTTTACTATTTACTGTTAAAAACTGTTTTAAAACTATTTACTTTTTCTTTTTTTCGTAATCGTTAAATATTAGTTTTTAAATATCTTATTGCTTTTAAATTGCGTATGTTTGGTTTGTAATGTAAATTTCAACACTGCGAAACACCAATATTTGATTCTGTCAAACCCATTTGAAGCTATCTTCAATGGGACCAAATGTGAAAATCGTCATACTTAAGGTCGATTCAGACACATCAGTCACGTCTCGTCACAGTGATGGCACCGAACCGAACAATCCGTCATACAAAATATTCTTTAATACAAATATGGTGCCAGCATTCACACTCATCAGTTGACAAACAGTTTGCCAGCTGTCAGATAGTTGATAGTTCTGTGACCAAACAGGACCGGTTCGGTGCCGTGACGATGACGTGACTGATGTGTCTGAGTCGACCTTTAAGGTCGATTCAGACACATCAGTCACGTCTCGTCACAGTGATGGCACCGAACCGAACAATCCGTCATACAAAATATTCTTTAATACAAATATGGCGCCAGCATTCACACTCATCAGTTGACAAACAGTTTGCCAGCTGTCAGATAGTTGATAGTTCTGTGACTAAACAGGACCGGTTCGGTGCCGTGACGATGACGTGACTGATGTGTCTGAATCGACCTTAAAGGTCGATTCAGACACATCAGTCACGTCTCGTCACAGTGATGGCACCGAACCGAACAATCCGTCATACAAAATATTCTTTAATACAAATATGGCGCCGGCATTCACACTCATCAGTTGACAATCAGTTTGCCAGCTGTCAGATAGTTGATAGTTCTGTGACCAAACAGGACCGGTTCGGTGCCGTGACGATGACGTGACTGATGTGTCTGAATCTACCTTTAGAACTATCTTTTGCCATCACTTTAGATCATTTTACCAGTCTACCACAGAGATATTTTTAATAATTATCTCTTCATTCTCTTCTTTTACATACTCTGTTTTGTTTGACCACCATATTGAAATATTCTGATTCTGCATTCCATGATACTCCATGATATAGGATCTTCCCGTAGCCCAAAATTGGTCGTGTTCGCGCATGCCGTCATTGGAGAGTAGAATTTGAATTCTTGTTTAAGTTAAATGGGATTTGTATGCATTCTGTGATGAAATTACTAGACGAAAATAAGTTAAGAAGTTAAATAATTACAATAATTGTACACATAAGGATATCTAAAAACTATTTATTAAAGATTATTTATTGACACATACAAAAAACTGACATTTCGAACGTGCACCTCTCCAATGACGTCACAAAAACATGCGCAATAATATCTTCTTATCATAGTATCATGCTGCATTCGTGCATTCTGCGTTCTGCGCATGCTAGTTATGCTTAGTTCTATCAGAGACATGTAAGAGATAGAGATATCTCTCTTACATATCACTGGTTTCTATATTATACTCAAGGTTGTGTGGTTTCGCCATGATACTTGTGGTTTGACAATTTGGCATCACAAAATACAAAATCACAACTTGTGCTCAACTGCTCAGTGTCAGTGACGGTGACTGGCATTAAGTACAGAGGGTGCAAAAATATTAAGATAAAAAATCCTTATAGGATTTTATTACTTTGAACCAACGATGTAATATACTATATATATTACATCATTGCTTTATACAAACATTTTTGAAAAAAAAAAATAGTTTCTGAGTTTCTGTATTATCTTCTTTGATTTTCCTTAAGTTTTCTTTTATTTTAAATTTTGTTTCCGCATATGTGTTGTCTTGTTTGAGCCGTTGTATTCATGATTTTCCTCTTGCGTGCTTTATATTCTTAAGGCCGTATGAAACTATGCAAACAAAAAAATGGATAGTGTCATACAAGCGTATAGTTTCTTATATCAGAAACGATACAAGAATTTGTGTCCGCTGCATTTTCTTGTAGAAGAAGTGCGCCAATTTGTGCGCAAAGCCGCAAAAATGTAAAACTTCTGTCATATTGACGGCTGGAGGTGGAGGAGAACTTTGATATACAATTAGACCAAGCAGACATTAGAGAAAAGTGCCCACCAACAATAACCAAGATTAGAACATCAGTAGACAAATTGAAAAACAATAAATCACAGGGAATGGATCAAATAGCCTCGGAACTACTGAAAGTAGGAGATGTTTTACTAAAAACAATGCATTACCGCTCTAAAAATTCGTGATGAGTTTGAAGATTATTTTATATCTCCAAATAAGAGAGTAGAATTTCAAGAGCATGCCATTCAAACAAATAATTAAAAAAAAAACAAATAGATTACTACAACCAAATTATTTATTATTTCTGTTTTCCATTACGGTCTGTTGAATATCTTCAAAAATTGTGGTTTCCAATTTAGTTTTAATATTGGGACATTTTATTTCTTTCATTTTTGCACCGCAGTATTTAAAAAAATAATAAGTAGCATTTGTCCTCAGTCCCCATTAGCTTGGGGTCCTCAGGTACTGCAGTTCTATTTTTATAGGTGTCAAAATTTCGACCAATCATGTGCCAAATCACATACAATTTCTGGTAAAAGAATTTGCATAGTGTCATACAGGGCAAAAATGTACGTGCAAGAAACGATACAAAAAAACATAAATAAATTCCTATATCAGAAACGATATAAGAAATGATGCAATGATGAAGAAAATGCATAGTGTCATACGGCCTTTAGTTTCAACACAAAAAATTAACAGTTAAATAAAAAAACCATGCAAATATTAATGTTTTATTTTTGTTCAATATTGGTTATAGAAAAATCCTACGAATTCCATGAATTCAAAGAAACTAAAACGCAGAAATTAGTAGAAGAATAGGGAATGCAGCTGATATATTGTTGACTATCAAAAGAAGAAAACGTGAGTACTTAGGACGTGTGACGAGAGGGCCAAAATACGTATTATTGCAACTTATTATGCAAGACAAAATTCGAGGAAAGCGAAATGTGAGAAGACGAATAATATCGTAGCTTAAAAACTTAAGGGAGTGGTTGTAATGAAGTAGTGCATAATTATGTCTATTGTTTTATGACACTAAGTGAACACCTTTAAAAATTAAAAATTTAAGGCATTTCTTGTGATGTTAATTGCCGGCCGTCATTGAAGCTATCAAACAGGTTGTCATTGTCAAAGAATAACGACGCAGAACAGGAAACCAATAAACTCAACGGGTGGGGAGAAGTGACAGGTGCCGCGAAAATTTAAACTTGGTAGTTTCGTAGTGTCTACTATCCCGACACATCATGTGTATATATACCCCAGGTGGGTAGACCATACAGTAATCACTCCTTTGGAAAAAAGTACAGCTTCATGGAATCTAGGAGAAGCAAGAAATCGCTAAAAACCACACGATTGAACATCGCAACTCTAAATATAAGGTCCTTAAGCAAAGATGAAAAAGTCTACGAACTCAAAGAAGACATCAAGTACTTAAAATGGGACATAATTGGTCTAGCAGAGGTAAAAAGAAAAGGGGAAGAGTGCATAACACTAGAGTCCGGTAACGTCCTACATTACAAAGGGCGAGAAGAATAAAGATACCTAGATTATTAATTGACGATCTGGAACTGGAAGATGTGGACACCTTCGTCTTCCTGGGCTCGCTGCTGACCAAAGACAACAATGTCAGCGAAGAAATTAAAAGAAGAGTAGTGGTTGCCAATAAGTGCTATTATGGCTTGAGGAAACAGATGGCCCCAAAACTACCCAGAAAAATTAAAGCCTCCATATATAAAACACTAATGAGGCCAGTGTTAATATACGGGCCAGAAACGTGGTCACTTACACAGAACGACCAAGAATTGCTTAAACCTTTTGAGAGAAAAATACAAGAACATGGTTTGTGGCGTAGGATCTACAACTTTGAGTTATATAGAAGTTTTGGGAAACCTGACGTTGTAAACCGTATTAAATTAGCACACCTTCGATGGATAGGACATGTAATTAGGCGAGATGAAGATCCAACGATCAGAAAAAATTTCGACCGAAGAGTACTAGTGGGAAGACGAGCCACAGGAAGATCAAAACTTAAGTATCAAGATAAAATAGAGGATGATCTAAAATCCATCGGAGTTAAAGCATGGAGAAGAGTTGCCAGAGACAGGGGCGAATGGAAGATTGTTCTGAAGAAGGCTTTGGCTCATAACGAGCTGTAATGCCACTAATGATGATGATGAGAAGAACAAAGCCTAGATGGCGTAGGATTTCTAATTTTTAAGAAATATGCACATAAAGTAGAGCAATTCGTAGGAAGGTCTGGAATAATTGCAATGTTTAGCCTAAATGTAAACGACAACATCTCTCTGAAAATTTTTCAAGTATACGCTCCAACTGCAGCACATCCCGATAAAGAGATAGACGAATTTTATGAGAAAATTGCAGAAACTAGCACGAATTATCACAAGCCCACAAATTCTATGCAATGAACACATTTTATAAGAAAACAACCACTATAAGAAAGTGGACGTGGCTATCCTCAGACGGAAAAACGAAATAGATTACATACTGTGTAACAAAACAGATATCATACAGGACCTAACAGTAATAAATACGGCGTAAGTAAGTAGAAATTACCGAATGGTTAGACCCAAATTATAAATAAAACAATAAAAATAGAAACAAATTTAGAAAAACTTGGAATATAGAATCAGATAAACTAAAATCTAATACAGAACAATATAAAAGCAAGTTAAAACCCGCAAAAGTATTAAATGTAGATAAACTTAGCTTAAATGAAATCAATGAAGTCATAACAAAAGAACTATTAAATGCAAGCTCAGAAGTGGCAACTGCTAACAGAAAACGAAAATCCAAAATAAGTGTAGAATCACAAAACATGCTAAAACAAAGCAAAGATCTTCTGAGACAAAACAAAAGAGTTACTGCAGAATTTAAGGAACATTATTGAGTAATAGAAAAACAGATAAAAGAGGACATTAAAAAACATCAAGAAGACCGTATAGAACAAGTCATAGAGAAAATACGTCTCAAAAAAGTCTCAAATGTACCAAATCGAAACTAGGAAAGAAAAACATAATAACGAAACATAATAAACAGAAACGATCCCCCTAACTCCACAAACCAGAACTTGAAAAAGCAGATAACAAATGGCAACTTGGAAGGGATGACCGAAATAAGCTACGAAGAAATAGTAAGAGCAGTAAAAGAAATAAAAAGGAATAAAGTTTCTGGAAGCGATGGAATCCTAGCAGAAATGCTGAAGGAAGGCGGAGAAGAAGCTATCAGATATCTAAAAATACTTTTTAATAAATGTCTATTCGAAGGCAACATACCCGAACAATGCAGTGCTGCTATACACAAAAAGGGAGACACCACAGACCTGAAAAAATTATCGACCAATTTCACTTCTCTCAAAACTTTACAAAACCTTTACAAAGGTTATTACAAACAGGTTAACAATTATATTTGACAGATATCAACCAGTATAACAAGCCGGATTTAGAAAAGTGTACAGCACCTGTGACCATCTATCTATATACTCTGACAATCCTAAGAGAAAATACTAACGAATACAATCTCCCATTATGTCTGGGGAGAGAGGTAGGAATAAGTATAAAGAAAAGAAAGTTGGAATACTTGGGTCATGTTATGAGACATAATAAATATAGAGTACTACAGCTGATCGTTCAAGGGAAAATAGACAGCAGAAGGGGTTCAGGGAGGAGAAGAGACTCGTGGCTCCAAAACTTGCGGCAATGGTTCGGATTGTCATCTGCTGAACTATTCAGATCTGCCGTAAACAAAGTCAGAATAGCCATGTTGATTGCCAACGTTCGGAACGGACAAGGCACATAAAGAAGAAGAATTATGTCTGGCTTCTATAGAGTATGAAATAGTTTTTGATAGCGTAGAACTGTGGGCAATACAAGAAACATTAGTCAATAACCGGATCGACTCCAGGTACAGAATATTAATACATAATATTTACGAACAAGCTGAAATGATAGTGACATTGGGTAATGGAATCGAAACAAGACCAGTAACAATCAACCGAGACGTAAGAAAAGGAGACACAATATCTCCAAAATTATTTACAGCTGCCCTAGAAGATATCTTTAAGTCAATAGACTGGGAACATAAGAGAATCCCTATTAACGGAAGATACTTGAACCATCTTAGATACGCAGATGATGTAGTACTAATAGCCGACACGTGGAATGCACTGAATACGATGATTGAGTAGCTACACACAGAATCCCTAAAAAAAAAGAACTGCTGGACCAATGTGAAACGTCATACCTTTAATCAACGTTTTGTTTTGTAAATGAACTAAAACAGTAAAATAAGATAAATTTATTTACTGTACATACAACATACATAAATACAATTAAATTCGTTAAATAATGATATATCATTTCTTGGTATGGATTAATACTGTATGTCCACGGACTACCGCAGTTCCGACTCCTTCGGATCTCTTTTTGTGATTGTTTGTCAAATATTCAGATAAACTACTGCTTTGTGTCGTAAGCGTCGAATCCTTTTGTTTGCGTTTCTTCTTCTTAGAAATCCATTTGCAAGGTGGGAACAACCTACAAGAAAATAAGAAATATTTATAACAAAGGTCTTTACTGAAATTCGTATGATTAATGTTTTAATAAGCAATTTGTGTTATTTTATAGTATACTATAGTCAAAGTCAAGCGATAAACAATTTTCATTTAAACTTTATTAATTACTTAATTATTCATAATCATCGTTGTAGCCGTTCAGTTCCTTCGGATTGTGGCTTATACTTTGCCGAATTCTTCTATTATGAGATGGATTTTTTTTTTTATTTTTAAGCCTTTCTCTCTATTCGGATTGCCAAATATAGGCCTCTTCTAATTCTCGCCATTCATCTCTGTTGTTTGTGAGACATTTCCACATTGGTCCTGCATTTTAATATTGTTGCTCCAGCGCATTTGCGGTATTCCTCATGGTCTTTTGGCTTCATATGGCCGCCAATTTCTGTGTTCTTTATTCCACAGGCCATCCTTAAGACTTTCGTTATGTATAGCTCATTTCCATTTCAGTTTAGCTACCTGTTCGACAGCATATTTTACTTTTGTTCTATTACGAATGTCTTCATTTGCGGTCTGATTCTAATAAACATTTCTAATTAGTTTTAGGTCTTGGTGTTAACGCCAATATTTGCTTGTTTAATATTTTACTTTTTTGCAAACTTTTTGGAGTGTAGCTTTTTTAGTAACGATAAATACGAATATCTTATTAAATAGAGTTAACTTCTACAGAACAAATTAGCACTCAATCATTTACAATGTAAACTTACCATAGACTTCGACAAAAGTGGGTAGAAAATATGCAATAAATGATAGGGTTAGCTGCAGAGTTTAGGGGTGCTAAACTTTGTACGAATGTGGCTATAGCTATGTTAGTTTGAGTTTGTGGTATCTGCTCGTACACTTGTAGAAGATCAAATATTATGTAAGGGCTCCAACATAATATAAATACTAAAACAGAATTCTGAATTAGAATAAATACTAAATCTGAATTTATATTATATATATATATATATATATATATATATATATATATATATATATATATATATATATATATATATATATATATATATATATATATATATATATATATATATATGAGGTTGAGGAGGGAGAACTGTTTGTCTCAAGTTGGTCATTCAGAATTATATCTGTGTTTTTTAATTTGTTGATTTCCATAGATTCTAACAAAGATAGCTTAAGGCCTTTATTTTGAATGTGAAGAATTTTAAATTTGTCATTAAAAGAATGATTATGATCTAGAAGGTGAAGTGCGTATGTCGAATCTGTTTTTCTATTCTTGAAAGCCCTTTTATGTTCTGCTATTCGTTTATCAAAGTTTCTACCAGTTTGACCGATGTAAGTTTTTGGGCAGTCGCCACATTCAAGTTTGTACACACCACTATTTAAGTGTTTTTTATTTTGGCTCTTGTTATTTTTAATATATTTGCCTAGGTTGTTATTTGTTCGGAAAGCTGGTGTTATTCCTTTCTTTTTTATGTGTTTGGCAATTTTTGTTGTTATTTTGCCTGTATATGTAATCGAGCAGAAGGTACTGAGTTTTTTCTCTGGTGGTGGAAATACTAATTTCAGGGCTTTCTTGTGTAGTTTTTGATTTAACATTTTATTAATTGTTTGTTCGTTGTATCCGTTGTTTACTGCTATCTGCTTAATTATATTTAATTCTGTCTCAAAGTTGTATTTTGACATAGGAATTTCTGTTAATCTATGTAACATACTATGATAAGCTGCCAGTTTATGTTGTGTTGGATGGGATGACGAATTGTGTATATAGTCGTGTCCGTATGGGTAGGTTTATGAAATATGGAGAAGTCATGTTTGTTTTGAAGTCTGCTAATTTTTAAATCTAAAAAATTTATGGATTGATTTTGTTCTGTTTCTATTGTAAATTCAATATGACTATGAAGTGAATTAATATATGATAAAAATTGGTCCAGTTGCCTGTTAGTTCCTGTGAACATACCAGTACGTCGTCTACGTATCTCCACCAATATAAAAACTGTTTGAATACGGGATGTTTTGAAATCTTTGTCTCTAGATGATCCATAAAAATATCTGATAGCAATGGGCTTAGAGGATTACCTATTATAAGTCCTGCACTGTTATTTGTATAAATTTTATTATTAAATTCAAAGTAGTCCTGGTTTATGCAGTACCTTCTGCTCGATTACATATACAGGCAAAATAACAACAAAAATTGCCAAACACATAAAAAAGAAAGGAATAACACCAGCTTTCCGAACAAATAACAACCTAGGCAAATATATTAAAAATAACAAGAGCCAAAATAAAAAACACTTAAATAGTGGTGTGTACAAACTTGAATGTGGCGACTGCCCAAAAACTTACATCGGTCAAACTGGTAGAAACTTTGATAAACGAATAGCAGAACATAAAAGGGCTTTCAAGAATAGAAAAACAGATTCGACATACGCACTTCACCTTCTAGATCATAATCATTCTTTTAATGACAAATTTAAAATTCTTCACATTCAAAATAAAGGCCTTAGGCTATCTTTGTTAGAATCTATGGAAATCAACAAATTAAAAAACACAGATATAATTCTGAATGACCAACTTGAGACAAACAGTTCTCCCCTCCTCAATATATTTCATTAGAGACTATAAATTTGTAAACCCAAGCCAAAATAGATCACTTGAGAAAGGCAATCAGCCGAAACAGCTGTAGTGATAACATTTAAAATAAATTTTGTGGAAGTTTGAAAACAAAGTTTTCAGTGTTTTATTGTTACATATATATATATATATATATATATATATATATATATATATATATATATATATATATATATATAATTTTTATAAATTCACAAAATAAACAATAAAAATAAATTTTTTAGTTTTTTTTTTCAACAAATATCTCAATGATCATAACTACAGACGCCAAATTGTAAATCAGACGTTCAAATTTAATCTCAGGGTTTTTTTGTGAGTCACTTTTTGTGAGTAAAATAGTTTTACCTTTTCATAATGTGCACTATAATACTATACAACAGAAATAGAAGTTAATAAAATGAATGCCAAAATGTTCAATACAATTAAATATTTTGATAAAAATACCTTGAAAAGTTGTATTATATTCTATTATATATATATATATATATATATATATATATATATATATATATATATATATATATAGAAAAGAAATTTAATCTTTGCAGATAAGTTAAATAGTAAACTGTTAAATATTGGGGAAATCTGTAAGAAAGACTCTAATGAGTATCAATTGTTTCGCCAAAAATTTTTAGCCAAAGAGAATTAATTTGGCTTCTTCAGGGCTGAAAGAGAATAAATTATAATTATCTACCATATATTATCTATTAAAAAACATTTGATCTTACCGTAACTTCGAATTATTGAGTTACGATGTTAAAAAACTTAGCTAGTAACAACATAGTGGTGTTTTTTGTTACTATGTGCAAAAAAAAGTTTTTTTTAACGTTGGAAATGTATGGTAGCTTTGAACTTAAAACGCAAAGGTTTACCCAAGGTTAATCGAAAAACCCAATGTAACTACAATTAAAAGGGAGTAATTCTTTCAAATGTCTTTCAAATTTAGTTATTCCGACATTTGAAAGAATTACTTCCTTTTAAATGTAGTTACATTGAGTTTTTCGATTAACCTTGGGTAAACCTTTGCGTTTTTAAGTTCAAAGCCACCATACATTTCCTACGTTAAAAAAAACTTTTTTTGCACATAGTAACAAAAACACCACTATGTTGTTACTAGCTAAGTTTTTTAACATCCTAACTCAATAATTCGAAGTTACGGTAAGATCAAATGTTTTTTAATAGATAATATATGGCAGCTAATTATAATTTATTCTCTTTCAGCCCTGAAGAAGCCAAATTAATTCTCTTTGGCGAAAACGTTCGGCGAAACAATTGATACTCATTAGAGTCTTTCTTGCAGATTTCCCCAATATTTAAGAGTTTACTATATATATATATATATTATATATATATATATATATATATATATATATATATATATATATATATACTTCATCTAATTTAGATAACGACTTACGTCATTATCTACGTCAGAGATCAAAGTTGACATAGTTGCCAGAGTATGAAAAAATTCTGACACCATTTTAAACCAAATAGATTACATAATGATTGCAAAAGTATTACCATCTATTTAAAACAACTATTTAAATTCTTACGTGACTTTTTTAAAATAAAACACACTAATTTTGTTCTAAAAAAAACAGATTTTATTAAATAGTTAAAAATATAAAACAAGAGATATTCACTTTAAAATTCAAAATAATGAAGTACAAAAAGTGTCAACACCGCAACTGTCAAATAAGTGTTACCAATTTATGCCAAAATTTTACCTTCGTTCGATTACAGTTACAGTGTATTCCGAACAAATGTTCTTGATAAAAACGCTTTATAATGCATTTAGACAAATTAAATGAAACATATTATTGTGTATTTCTTTAAGTTAACATTAATAGAAATTTTTAAATATTATTTCTACGCGTATATAATAAAATATGTCTAGTTGGTGTAATGCCAGGGTACTCCGTAAAGTAATTCTAAAAAAAAACACACCTACACCCTAAATATTTTGTGTTGGTATCATGTGACGTCACAGGCTATGACGCCGATGACGTGCATCGTTATATAAATTAGATGAAGTATATATATATTTAAATATAAATTAATAAATATGTGACTAATATGAATATAATGAATATATATATATATATATATATATATATATATATATGTGAATAATATGAATATTATTCATATATATATATATATATATATATATATATATATATATATATAAAACAAAACCATCTATAAATAGCGCCCCGGCCTTATCCTGACAGTTGAAGACTGTATAACGTTATAAACATCATATATTTATTAATTTATATTTAAATAATTATTTTATTTTAATTTCTTTATTAATTTATTAATTCCTTAACCTTCAGTTTCTTTTTTACTATTTTTTAAGAAATAGTAAAAAGGCGCCCTCTCTCTCTTTTTGTTCGGTAGAATAAATATTCGCCCTCTCTCTTTCTGTCCCGTAAAAATAAATATTTGCCCTCTCTCTTTCTTTCCGGTAGAATACATATTCGCTCTATCTTTTTCTGTTCGGTAGACCAAATATTCTGTTCTATGTTGACAGAAGAGCTAATTCCATCATAGGCATACGTTCTATGAAATCTGTGCTATACTTCATAGTAGTCTTTCTCCACTGTTCGCCAATCAGCTTTTAAACGTAGTGGAATTTTTGTCTGTAATTGAAATTTATAAAAGAAGGTAAAAATTATAAGATTTATTTTATCGTCTGCAGAAATCTCTTGGGGTGAATACTTTCATTGTAATCTATATTCTATAGAATATAGAATATTCTATAGAATTTTAATAAAAATAAATAAAAATTCTATTTTACTTTATCCTATTCATCTGCTATTTATTTAATTGTTATTTTGTAAAATAATTGGCAAGGAAATTAACCCCCTTTGATGTCTCGCTAATGCTGATGTTATATTCTACTTTACTGTGTTTGTGCATTTTGTGGGGAGTGCAGTTTTCTTTTTCTTGGCTTTCAAAATCCTATCAGACATAAAAATACTTCTAACATCTATATTTTCAACCAATGAACTTTAATTACTTTAAACACACTAGTAGAATTACGAATTCCTCAGAAATCCATCGAATTTATATTTTTCTTGTTTTAGATATAGTCCCAACAATAGAGTGTACGTAAATTAACTTTTTAAATCCTTGATTTGAAAGACAATCTTATATTTAAATTGCTGTTTTATAATCCTCATTGTTAAAAAAGGTTTATCCTGAATTTTGAAAAGAAACACTTTTTATTCATACATATTTTAAATTTCATAATACGTCGAAAATAAGTCCATTTCACTTCCAGCAGAAATAAAACCCTATATGAATATAATTCCATTCTTTAATTTTTTTACATGTAGAAATAAAAACTTTTGTTATTCTTTGTTAGTTAAATTTTTTATATCAAGAAGGTCGTCATGATTTATTTCTATGACATTGAAGGATTTGAATACAAACTTGTATTCAGAAGAAAGAAAATAACTGCGACCCAAGAGAAATTTTGTAATTATTTTAAAAATTAGAAACATTTGGAACACTTTCTGCTTTTATGGTAAACAATAGGGGCAAATATTCTCATGTTGGAGTATTATTAGAAAAAGGCGAATAAAAAATGTATACTTTTTAAAATGGATATTAAAAGGAACCCGTAAAAAACCTTTACAACAACAAGGTAAGAGTTAAAACCGGCAATAAATACTCCAACGAATTTAAGACCACAAAATGCTTATTGCAGGGATGCTCTACATCTTCGACACTGTTCAAGATATTCCTCGAACAAATATTAAAACCATGGAAAAGGAAATGTGAAGGGATGGGAATACCAATCCGGGACAACTGCTTGTACACATTAAGCTTTGCAGATGACCAAGTGGTGAAGGCTCAAGATAAAGAAGATCTGTGCTGTATGCTCCGAAAATTATAAAAGGTAAACACAAAAAATGGACTGGAAATAAATCTAGAAAAGACCGAATATTTAACAACAGAGCAAGAACCAGTGAGAAACTTGGAAATGGACGATGATAGGGAAATTAACGGCACTGAAAAATTCAAATATTTAGAATTCATACTCTCAAAAAATGGAACAACTGAGCAAGAGATAACCAACAGATTAGCACAGACAAGAACATGTATTAAACAAATGAACGGGGTAATGTGGGATAGACAGATTACCAGAAATACAAAGAAGAGAATTTATAACACCTTGGTACGCAGTATAATGACCTATGAAGCAGAGAATTGGGTAATAAATAAACGAAACAGGTCCAAAATCACAGTAACTGAAATGATGTTTATGAGAAGAAGCTGCAGAGTGACAAAAATAGATCGTATCAGAAATGAGGAGATAAAACGAAAAATGTTAGTAGAACAAGACATACTCAGCTACATCGAAGAAAAACGTTTAATTTGGTATGGACATGTGAGAAGAACAGATCATACAAGGTGGATAGCAAAGATTTCAGATTGGAGCCCAATAGGAAGTAGGAAAAGAGGTAGATCCCGAAGATCATGGAGGGATGAAGTGGACGAGGCCATGGAAAGACGAGACCTTAGAGATAGAGAATGGCAGAACAGAAAGGACTGGAGACGTTGGCTAAAAGAAGGAAGGCTGCGATAGTTGTAAAAATCCTTATATAGATAGATAGATAAAAAGGATAAGCCAAATCAATATTTATAACGGTATTCAAAAACAGACAACAACTTAAAGAATATGACAATCTTAGTTTTGTCAGTAAAAACTTGGGCGTCATTTACTTATCGCCAAAAGATCATTTCTCAGAATTAAATACAAATGGAATATTTACATTTAATCTGTAGTGCCTAAACGGTTGTACGTTAAGCCGTTTAACCGTTTTATATCACTGAGGCTACTTATTATTATACAATAAGCCGTTTGGATGCTATATGCATAAGGCCCCTTTGGATATCCACTTTCTAACCGCCAAAAACTTCAATATTTACTTCTTGAGCTACTCTCTTTCAACGACCTCTCATGTGACACGATCCGACGAGCCGTTCTATTTACACTACATAACGAGTAAAACATTAGTAGAATGAACCCTAATTTCTTATGGTATTTATGGTATTTTTATAAGTTTTTGTACAAACAAAATACATGTACCCTGTATAAAGACCAAATCGAGTATAATAATCAAATGCTCAATCGATTGGTATACATATTAGTTATACTACTACTAAGGATTTCCACAGTTTTCACTGTCTTCCTTCACTCAACCGTTTTCTCCAATTTTCCCTGTCATTCCAGTCTCCATCTCGCAGGGTTCTTTTCTCCATAGCCTCGTCGATTTCGTCTCTGAATGACCTTCGGGGTCTTCCTCTCTTTCTTCTTCCGATCGGGTTCCATTCTGTAATTTTGTTTATCCAGCGTGCTCTGTCCGCTCTTCTGACGTGGCCGTACCAGGATAGTCTCTTCTCCTCTATATAGTCGATTATGTCGGATTGCACTCCCATTCTCCGCTTAATCTCTGCGTTTTCAATTTTGTCTCTTTTTGTAAGTCTACAGCTACTCCTCAGGAACTCCATTTCTACTGCTCTTATGAGTTATGTAAGAGTAATAGAGTAATAACATATTAGTTATATTTTATGTATTTGTATTGAGCGAGTAAATTTTTGTGATTATTTACATAAATCAAATATTATGATTAAGTATAGTACAGAGGATATACAAAGAAAAAAAAGATAAGAAAATATTTACCTGATACAATCACGAACGTTATCTTAATAGTCTTAACTTTCGCTTTCGGAATAAGTCCCCTTGAACTCGCTCTTCTTAAGTTATCTGACTCTAGAATTAAAACATTTGAAATACAATACTAAAAATCAATGTTTTTTTATGTCATTAGATTTTTGATTAAATTTGTTACATATCTACAATATATAATAAAAGTAAATAACCACCTATAAGCTAAATGTCATACCTGATCGTTCTCCATTAGCTCTACTCTTAAAATGGTGAAAGGTGGATGCGCTCTTCGTCCATATCGTTACGATAATAATCGCGTAACAAGTTGTGATAATAATGGCAGGTATACAGAATAAACTGACGGAAACTAACGTCATATAAAGTTTCCACATCCATTGTGCTGAGAATGACAACCAACATTGATTTTGACCTAAAACAATAGGAAGTAGGATTAGTAAATTATATAGAAAACATTTTGCAGATTTTAAGAAGAAGCAGATAAGACTGTTTTTCATTTTAATGTTAATTATCAAGTCCCCTTGACTTTGGCGATTGAAGGAGCAAGTCTCTCTTTGTCTTAGGCTATTGTAGAAAGAAGTTGTAGATAGTTGTAGAGTTTATTTATTTAACTACTTCTTCTTCTTTTTATATCGACAGGACTCTGTTTGTTTTCAATGTGATTCCAGTATGGTGTCATTCCATCGTTTGCGTGGTCTTCCGTCTTCCTATCTTATCGTCTTCACTATTTCATTTCACTATTGACACACATGACATACATTTCATTTTCACTATTTCTTGTCATTCGGCTTATATGATCGTTTCATTCTACTCTTATATTTTTACTCAATTTTTGATGTTCTCCACCTTGCATCTATGTCGTATATCTGTACTTCTAGCTCTGTCCCACAGTATCTTACCATCAATTTTTTTAAGTGTTTTCATCTCTGCTGTTTCTAACATCCTTTTGCCCTCTCTGTGTCAGGTCTTGTTTCTGCCGCGTATGTTATTATTGGTCTGATGACTGTTTTGTAAATTCTGCCTTTCGTTTCTTTCCCGATATTTTTATTTTTCCATATTGTTTCATTGATGCAGCCTGCGGCTCTGTTTGCTCTATTCACTTGATCTTCTACTTCGGTTTGGAGCTTTCCGTAGCTAGATAATGTGATGCCTAGATATTTAAACTCCATCACTTGTTCTATTATCTGACTTTCCAGCTCCAATTTACATCTTAGTAAATTTGCTGTTGTAACCATGCATTTTGTCTTTGTTGGGGAAATTAACGTGTTAAATTTTCTGACGGTTATATTAAATTGGTGCAGAATACGTTGTAAAGATAGTAGTATTGCGTCGTTTGCATAGCAGATTATTTTAAGTTGTTTTTCTCCTATTTGGAGCAAGAAAAAAACTACTTAACAAGTACAAATATTGTTTGTAAGAAGTCAAAAATATGTACCGGGTGGTCCAATAAGCCGATCTCTCGGCTATATATCAGAAACTATTCATGTTACAACTTTAGGAGAAAAAATTCCTTAGTAAAAGTGGCCAAAAGAAATCGCTGGAAATAACTTTCAAATTTCTGGGTTAACCGCTAGGGTGCGTAACCTGTGAAAAAAGTTTGAAAACCAGTTTTTGTGAAATATGCCCAATTATACCAATTGTTAAATAAGTAAATTAGAAAGAGGCCTAAATTCCGCACAAAGTTGTATAAGTACTTTTTTTTTTACTTTCTCAAATAAAGGGTGGGGGAGAGTGGAAAAGTATTTGTGGATAAATACCAATAATTTTGGTTTGGATTAACCGATTTTAACGAAATTAGTGTCATTAGAAAGACTGTGGATGATTTAATTTAAATCTACTATAAAACAATTACATTTAGCTTTAATTGTCATGGGTAGAGGGTACTTTCGAAAAGAAAAAATTAAAATTAGTTTTTCTTTAAAATGTTAAATAAAAACATCTATTTATTGTAAATTATAATAGAACTGGATTAAATTCGTAACAAAATGACACAAACCGCATGTTGATAGCTTTTGTCTAACTTGAGATATGAATAAAAACGCATAAACATAAGTAAGTATAGTATTGACTCACCCTTTATTATAACTTAAAATTAAATATGTGAAAGATCATACAAATATCTTGATCATTAAAACTTAATGTCCAATTAAATGTTCAAATTGTTTTTCATCGTTGTCCACACGAAGATGTAATCTTTTGCACATAGACATAACAGCTGCTTCAATCTCAGCTATTGATATACTATTTATTGCATTTATAATGCGCCGTTTCATGTCGTCTCGCGTGGTTGGTCGAGTTTGGTACACTAAGTCCTTCAATCTTCCCCATAGATAAAAGTCCAGCATTTATTTGGATAACTTGCATACAAATAATCTCGAACTCGTCTGGAAAAGTGTGCAGGACACCTGTCATGTTGTAATCTCATATATCTTGTTGTTTGTAAGGAAATATTTTCCAATAAAAGAGGCAACTGATTTTCCAGAAAATCCAAATATGTTTCGCCATTTAAAGTTCTATCAAAGAAATATGGACCTACGATCTTTCCATCAACTATACCACACCAAACATTAAGACTCCATCTACCTTGAACCTGCACCTCATGTATTCAGTACGGAGTTTCTTCAGCCCAATAATGCATATTATGCAGATTAACACTACCCGCACTATTAAACGTAGCCTCGCCTGTCCTCAAAATCTTTGACATAATATGCGGTTGTTCTTCTAGCAGACCTAATATCCAATTGCAGTAATCCAGCCTTGCATCAAAATCTTTCTCATGTAAAGCTTGGTGGAGAACTACATGATAATGATACAGTCTAAAAAACAGAACAACAAATATTGGTGAAAAAGAAACCACTATATTTACTAAAACTCAAAAAATCTTGAAAATTCCACAATTGTTTCACAAGATAAATCGTGCATAAGTATTTTTAAGAAACTGATAACAGGATAAAAGCTCCGTGTTGCCTTTTTTATTGGAATATTACAATATCAGTTGAATCTAAAGTTTAAAGTGAATTCCAAGTTTCTGACCTAAACTTTCATTTTATGATATGAAAAACCAACCTGTGATGTTTTAAAATCTTTAAATTAAATTAAAGCAACAACATTGATTGAATTATCTTCGGTCATACCTTTACTACGTCGTTTAAAACAAGGACGATGAAAACTGCCGGTTTCTTTTAATCTTCTTGCCTTTCTTGTAAATACTTCTTTGCCATAATGTCTCCTGTCAGGATATCTACCGAATATATACGTGAGGCAATAGCGGCATTTTGGTGACATTCGAAATAAACTCCAATCATATCATACAATTCTGCATTTGATATACGCATCACGAATTATTAGTACTGATAATTAATTAATAATATTACCAATATTAATATCAAATGAAAAAAGTGCAATCTTCAATTTGAATTATAATAGCACTCCTTAACAATACCTTGACTGCTTCAATAAATAAATAATATCAACTTCCCGTCAAATTCATTGTCGTAGCCTACTTAGTTCAAAAAAACTATTTTTAATCATATGAAATAACAATGGTCAAAATAGGTATCAACATTAGGATTCTTATACTATATAAAAAATTGAAAGTACCTAGACTTATTTTTTAATTTAATTTATAATACAGGGTGAGTCAATACTATACTTAATTATGAATAGGCATTTTTATTCATATCTTGAGTTCGACAAAAGCTATTGACATGCCGTTTGGCCCATTTGGTAAGAATATAATCCAGTTTCAGTATAATTTACAATAAATATATGTTTCCATAAAACATTATGAAGAAAAACAAATTTTAATTTTTTCTATTCGAAAGTACCCTCCACCTATGATAATTAAAAATAAATGCAATTATTTGCAGTAGATGTAAATTAATTCATCCACACTCTTTCTAATAACACTAATTTCGTTAAAATCGGCTGATCCAAATCAAAGTTATAGGCATTTATCCACAAATACTTTGCCACTATCCCCCACCCTTTATTTAAAAAAATTAAAAAAAGTACTTGAACAACTTTGTGCAGAATTTAGGCCTCTTTTTAGTTTACTTATTTACCACTTGGTATAATTGGGAATATTTCACAAAACTCTAGTTTTCAAAGTTTTCTTCACAGGTTACGCCCTCTAGCGGTTAACTCAGAAACTTAAATGTTATTTCCAGCGATTTCTCTTGGCCACTTTTACTAAGGAATTTTTTCTCCTAAAGTTGTAACATGAATAGTTTTTGATACCTATATAGCCGAGAGATCGTCTTATTGGACCACCCGGTACATAGTATATAAAAAAAGAAATATAAAACGTGTCTTAAATATATCACAAAGAAGAACATAGCCATTATAAACAGAAAATGATTTATGGCAAAATCACGGTAAGCAGTTCAGTGGATGTTCTGCAATGTGTCATATATTCTTCTAAGCAGTAAAAGCAATGTTTCAGAAGATTTTTTATGTTTTTCGAAACTATTAGGTACAGGTAAGCTGTTTAATACATTTTGGTAAAATATTGTAATAATTATAATTAAGTCAATTTTTATCTGAAAAACTCAATCTACAGCGATTTGTTCGTACGTAGTGACAGTTTCGCGTATTTTGAACGTGAACATCAGACTGCTTTAATAAATGGGCTCATTTTCTGTGAATTTCAGTCAGAACTTGAAATATCAACAGAGTAGGTAGCGGCGCATAATTTTGAATTTGATAAAGAAAGGTCGGCAATATCTAAATAACTAACCCTTGCTAAAATTCTAAAAACATTTGTTGAATTGCCTCATATGATTAATCCATGGTTTGGGTGAGAGTGGAATAAAGAAAAATTTGTCATTTTCAGTGTTTCAAAGTTGACAACCCTTGGTAGTTGGCGAATAACAAATAATGAACTTGATAGCTTTTTCTTTAGTTGTGAGATATGAGCCGATCAGTAAAGTTGATTATTTAGGAACAGCCGATTTATCTATTATAGGATTGGAATACACCAATGGGTAACGTAAGTACAAGATCGTAGAAGATGGAAGGCTATAGTAAATTCTGTTAAACATCGTTCCAATACAAGCAAAATATAAAAATGCAAGTGTAGCACCGTTTTTTAAAATTTTCCTGTAATTATATAATTTTTCCTTTTAAGTTGGAAATAAGTACATATTTATTAATTTAAGTTAAAAAAATATATTTAAAATCAATATTACCTTGAATAAGTTTTTCTTCGTATAATATTAATATTGGAATGGCGAAAAGGACACTAATCAACCATGCTGCTATAATTAAGCATTTAGCTCTTCTCCCTAAAAATCAGTTGTTATAAGTAACCAGCAAGATCCACAGAAACAAAAATTTCATAAAAAAAGAAAAATTAAAAGTGATAAAATTCTTCTGTTTCGCAATATTTCTACCGATTCTCGACTCAGTTGTCAAGTCATGGTTCAAAATATAAACAAAGATACTCGAATATTTTTAATTTTAGTCATATCTCAGCGATATTTGCAACGTCTTTTTATTATTTTTCTACATAGCAATAATAAATAAGTAATTTATTACTTATTTATTATTGCTAAATAAATATATTCAATATACAATGTTAATTTTGTTATTTTTTACTAATATTTGAGGTAATTTTTATTGTAAAACATAAATATTTATGATTATTATATACTTCTTCAATAAACTTTTTCCATAGCAACCTATTTTTTATTTATTTTTATTTATTTATTTGATAATTTTTAAACAAATTATAAAAAATAGTTTTTTGTTGCAAAATTACTTTTTTTTTAATAATTTGAGTTAATTTAAACAAAAGTTATTTTGTCTTTTTTTTTTCGTAAAAAACTTAAGTACTTTAAACGTAAAATGCAAATAAACAATTAAAAATGCCGAAAAAAAGCCAATTTTATCGTTTTTCGATGTCATTTTTTAATAGGTTGGACATCAAATTAAAAAAAAAAAAAAAAATAAGAGCTACGAGCCTAAGTCAAGTAGTTTCAAAATGCGCAATTTTATTTTGATATTACATTGCCAAAGTCAGTTTAAAACATCCATAAACAAATTGATATACCTTTGCGTTTCGGAATATATAGACTTGACGGACTTCTAAACTTTAACGTTCGGAAAACATTGTTTTCAACGTTAAAGCGTTGTCAGCAACGATAAAATAGCTTCACTATGGACGCAATAGCGACATCTGATATTAATTCACGAACTAGAAATCCGAAGATTTCTAATTGACGAAATTAAAATCCAGATTTTTGCTTCAATCTGTGCCTTCTAAGAATTGCAAGGCAAACAAATGTTGATAAAGGTGTAATTAGAGAAATGGGGAATCTAAAATTTCATTCCACAACATATGTCCTCAACTAAGCAAATATCCTTGGTGAATTGGTTTCTCGTCATGGACGTATAAACACAGATCAGATGGACATAGCAATAAGATACCTTTAACACATAATGTTTTGAAGCTTCGATAGAATGTGATGCTTCCTCAATGAGCATAAGCGTGCTTGATTTTTACTCGCGGGGATAATTATTCAGACTTTAAAAATTGGAAGTAGTAATAATGTATAAAAACACGTTCAAAGAATTAAAAAAAAAACGAGAGTTTAACTATTAACAAATCACGTCCTTATAGAAAAATTAAAATACAATTTTATTTGCTTTAAAATTAATACAATAAAATATAGTTGAATTCAAGTTAATTTTTTAATAGGTATCAAAATAATGCCCAATAAAAAATCTTTATGTTTTTTGCTAAATTTGCTACCCAAATAGTTTTTCGTCAATATTATTTGGAAACCTACATAGAAAAATAAATGAGTTTTATTGATTTCACTAATTTATTTGTATCCATGAGAAATGTTAAATTAAAAAGGTACTAAACAGATCTTTTTTAATCAGATGATGTACTTACAATTTAAAAATGTCTACAAATTTCATGAACTCATATCTTATGTAATACATTAATGAACATAAATAAACCCAATGGTACGCCTATTAAAATATAAATAAACACGCTTCCTCAGTTCCTCATCTAAAATAATATAAATAGACAGTACTTACAAATGAAATGATAGATCGGGATGTAAATATTTCGTTTATTTTATTTCACGTTTCACAAATATGCCCTCAAAATACAGCCAAAATATCGAAAAACCACTTTTCCTCATCTACTGTAAAAAGTAAACAAACATGGAACAGCATTTGAAGTTTGACGTAGAGCAATAAGACAGAGAAATGTAAAAACCGTTGCCATTTATAAATAGTTTTCAGTGCTTCTACATATAAAATAATTTATTGATAACTATTATACGCTATTATTAAATAATAATGCACACTATGTGCAACCATGATATTTTGATTACAATTATAGTACATTGTTTACCGGGTAGGAAAAGCTTAACATTCCTGGACGACTGTGAAGATTGCTAAGTCGAGGCGCAAGCCGAGACTTAGCAACACAGAGTCCAGGAATGTGGCTTTTCCTACGAGGTAAACATACTATTTTTCCGCAAATCGTTTAAAATTCGACAGATATTGATTGATTAAAAAAAAAACGCGATAATTTTATTCCCAAATAAATGGTGCTTTGAAATTTCTAATAAAATTACTTGGGTTACTATGGAAACGTATTGAGGTTGAATTGTCAAACTTGATATTCAAAATATTCAACAAAATGACACTTCCACCCTGCATGTTGTCCAAAATGTTTCTCATAGTTCTAAGAGTGTTCCTCCAATGTTCAATAATTGTACTAACTGTCAAATTACTGTAAATATAACAAATTGATCTTAAAAATGTATTCAGCAATGACTTGATGTTTTCAAAATATAAATTAATTTCTTATAAGCAATGTGTTTTCTATCATTTATGTAGAACACTAACAACTGTACGGAAATATCATTTCCTTACAGTAAGGAAATGACATTTCCTTACAGTAAGGAAGTCCTGACTTTTTCTTCAAGAAATTTTGACAGGAATGTCAAAATTTCCTGGCGATTTGCGGAAATAGTACATTGTTTACCGGGTAGGAAAAGCTTAACATTCCTGGACGACTGTGAAGATTGCTAAGTCGAGGCGCAAGCCGAGACTTAGCAACACAGAGTCCAGGAATGTGGCTTTTCCTACGAGGTAAACATACTATTTTTCCGCAAATCGTTTAAAATTCGACAGATATTGATTGATTTAAAAAAACGCGATAATTTTATTCCCAAATAAATGGTGCTTTGAAATTCCTAATAAAATTACTTGGGTTACTATGGAAACGTATTGAGGTTGAATTGTCAAACTTATGTAGAACACTAACAACTGTACGGAAATATCATTTCCTGACAGTAAGGAAATGACATTTCCTTACAGTAAGGAAGTCCTGACTTTTTCTTCAAGAAATTTTGACAGGAATGTCAAAATTTCCTGGCGATTTGCGGAAAAATATATTAATATAACCAATAAATTATTATTTTGGTTTGATAGCACCTGTAGAGTATAAAATACGGAGTAATATTTTCAGCGACTCGCGAATAAGAAATTTTAATAAAAAACACAGTTCAAGGTGCGGAGAATGTGACCTATTCAAATAATTTTGACTTCACAATTTTATGTAAATAACTGAGTCCATCTGTGTTTATACGTCCATGTTTCTCGTACTCATAAAGAGTATATCGAAACAACAAGAAAGACAGTTAAGATTTGATTTCACGTATAGTGCCTCGGTATATTCACTTATACGTATTTTATCCTAAAAGGAATCTCCGGAACGCCTATTCACAAATCTTTCCAGTCTTTCTTTTTGTTTCGATATAAATAAATTATAATAAATAAAAGAATAGGTTGCTATGGAAAAAGTTTATAAAAGAAGTATATAATAATCAAAAGTATTTATGTCTGACAATAAAAATTACCTCAAATATTACTAAAAAAATAACAAAATAGAAAAAAAATTGTTTAAACTAATTAGATGTTTTATTTAACAATTTATTTATTTAAATAATAAATATTTGTAATGCACGCAAAAAGTACCTTTATACAAGTTAAAAATAGAAACATCAAAATCCATAAACAGGAACCAGATATACTGTTAAAAGTCGGCCGATTTTTAGGACCACGTTTTGAAGCTTTTTTTGCAATATTTAAAATTGTTTTTTGTCATCTTTTTAAAATGATATTAATTTAATGAATCTTCGTCTTCCAGAATCTGCTCGTATAATTATTATAACTACACAATTTTTTTACTTATATTTCTTGCAAAAAAATTAATTTGGGAAAAGCGAATTAAATAACTTTTTAAACTATTTGACCTATCAGTTTGAAATTTCAAAATAATGATAACATTTTAAGCACTACAAGACCCAAAATTCTGTGTAATATGAGGGTTATAAGTTTGTTTTTAAAAAAGTTATTAATATTTAGAAAAAACCAAATTTTTTTATTTTTTTGCAACTTTCTAAGCAACAAATAAGGAGAGAAATATTAAAAAACGCTATTTTGAAAGTTTTTATATGACTTATAAACTTCCTACTCTCAAATTTGTTTTAAATACTTCACTTTCTAAATTCTTTTTAAAAAATTTACCATTTTTTTCACATTAATTTGTGAATTAACTAATAAGTCCAAAAAATCAACTGCAGGAAATATAAATATAGGTTTTTGTTATAGAGATCCATACTACTCAAAACAACTGTCTTTTGCCTGGACGGATGAGTATCGCGAATAAAGCTTATTTCCCTGGTCTATTGTGCTAAGAATGTCGTTAAGCTTAGTAGTATTAAATTGAGTGAGCCACTGAAAATAGCAATTGAATATTTCTTCTTCTTCTTCAGGTGCCATCTCCGCTACGGAGGTTGGCAATCATCATAGCTATCTTAATTTTTGAGGCAGTAGCTCTAAATAGTTGTTTTGAGCTGCATCCAAACCATTCTCTCAGGTTCTTCAGCCATGAAATTCGTTTTCTTCTGATGCTTCTTCTGCCATCTATTTTTCCTTGCATTATGAGTCGCAGGATGCCATACTTATCGCCCCGCATCACATGTCCGAGATACTGTAGCTTTCTTTCTTTAATTGTAAGTTCAATTTCCTTCTCTTTGCCTATTCTTCTCAGTATTTCATTGTTTATAACTCTATCTACCCAGGAAACCCTCATAATTCTTCTATAGGTCCACATTTCAAAGGCGTTAAGTCGTCTCATGGTATCTAGATTTAACGTCCATGATTTCACTCCATAATATAGTACACTGTATACGTAACATTTTGTTAGGCGTACTTTAAGAGCTAATGTTAGATCTTTGCCACATAGGACCTTTTTCATTTTTATAAAATTAGAACGTGCTTTTTCGATTCTGACTTTGATTTTTGCCGTGTAGTCATTATTTTCTGTTATAAGTGTTCCTAGGTAAGTGTACTTTTTTACTCTTTCGATCTGCTGGCCTTCTACTATCAAGATTTCGTTAGTATTATAGTTGTTTTTCAAATTTTCATAAACTTCGTCTTTTTGACATTAAGAGAGAGTCCGTACTCCCTACTACATATGATATATATAATAGAGGTGATGCAGCCTTGCCTGACTCCTCTCTTTATTTCCATTTCTTCAGATGTTTCTTTTTCATCTAGGTTTTAAATGATTCCCGTAGTATAGATAGCGTTGAACAGTTCTACTATTATGTCCAGGTTTTTCTCGTTGATCAACTTTAGTAGCTCGCTTGGTAATTCATCTGGACCAGCAGATTTATTGGTTTTCATTGAGTTTAATGCCTGACTAACCTCTGATTTGGTTATCTCTGGACCTACATCTCCCGTTTGGCTATCTACAGATGTACTAGCTTCTCTCTGGTCATGAAATAATTCTTCGATGTACTCTTTCCATCGTCGTAGTTTTTGTTCTGTTTCCAATATAATATTTCCATTTTTGTCGAGCAAAATATTTGGGAATATCCAAACCCCCTTAATTCTAAAAAGAGAAGCGAAACTTTATTCAGTGTTACCGTGTTCTTTTAAACATATATAAAGCTTCTAATGAGATGAATATTTTACTATTGTTTTACATTACTTATTACATAATTTTAAGTTTCCATTTTTTCCAAATAAATCTTACAAATAAAACCGATTTCAATTTCGTATTTGGGATCGTAAAAAAAAAGAAAATAAAAACGGCTGTTAGAAATAAATTTTTAAAATTTAAACTTTAAAGGCTTTTTGCATTATTATTTGTATATTACATCATTTACTACTTACAGCTTCCAGAAAATTTCATTGGATGTCTTATCGCGTCGTATCTGTCTATACTTAAGGCTACCAAGACATATGTGGATGCGTAGGTGACCACCACCTGAAAGGTAAATCATAATATTACATGCCTTCCTCTACTTTTTGTTATATTTTCAGATCAGCTAGTTAAAAATACTTTTAAATTTCTGAGATCATCATTATCATCATTAGAATGTGGTGAATCTAAAGCGTACCGATAAGAGTTACTACCAGAAACATCTGAAACGCACAAGTTAGTTAGTAAGATTAAGTTTTTACGCTATACGTCCAAATTTTTCAATTTGAGAAAGGTCGAATCCGAATTGTAATTTAGGAGGTTAAGAGTTAACTCACTAAAAAGGGTTTTAATTTGCTATAAGACAATACAATGATAATTAAGCTTAACAATCACAGTTTTTAAACAGTCTTACAAATCAAATAGTACGTATAGAGAAGTTTTATTCATTATGGATACTATATCTACCGCACATCGGTAGATATAGTATCCATAATGATTCCAATTCGAATGGACACCGAGCAGTCACCTTCGCAGCCGCAAAGAACATGATCATAGGAATCACATGTTTTCTACACAAAAAAAATACATATGTGGACTTGCACCTCACCTGATGGACTAACGAACAACCAAATTGATCATGTGATGATAGATGCTAGATACTTCTCAAACCTAATGGATGTCAGCACCTATAGAGGCGCCAATATTGATTCAGATCACTACCTAGTTGGCACACGAATTCGAGCTAGAATCTCAAATGCGAAGAAGGAGAGAAGTACCAAAACAACGCCTCTCAATATTGAACTCAAAAATCCGCAAACAGTAGAAAGGTTTCAAAACTATATCGAAACTAAACACATAATTCATGAGGACCTAACAATTAGTGAAGAATGGAAAAAGTGTAAAAATAATATTAAAGATGCAGCAAATAATATTATAGGGCCAGAAAGACCACCACCACGGAGAACCTTTCTACGCGTGTAGAGGTTTACTCCCCGGCTCTGGAACTTAATTCAACTATGTATGGTACCTGAAGTCATATTTAATTTAATACTGAACATCATAGTTTTTTAACAACAAGATGTATAATCGTTTACAACTATATATAATTTAAAGGGTTTTTACCCATGTATTTTGGTGGCTCAGGCATTTTAACCTAGCAATTTTAAAATTTAAACCTGATGATGGACTGTTTAGTCCGAAAACGTTTGTTTTTTTCATGTAGCCCTTTTACGGGTTTTTTAAATAAATATACCCACTTACGAAGACTAACCTCTTTTTTGTGATACGTGGTATACAGTCAGCTACAGGAATTGTTTTCCTTGTGGATTTTCTAGCAAAAGCTTTTTGTAATAGTACCGCCATTGCGCATAGTGCCTCTCTTGTTCACATTTAACATTTAAATGCAAACTGTTTATTGTCTAATTGTTCTTCACATTTTTTATATATACGCTGCTGAATAACTTTGAGTAGTATTTTTAAAGTGTGGCTCATAAGGCTAATTAATCGGTACTCATCGCAAGATTTAGGATTATTTTTCTTGGGTAAGGGTAAAAAGATAGATTTTAACCATTCATCCGGAATTTGATCGTCGTGATATATTTTATTAAATAATTTAGTTAGACACTCTATATTTTCATTATTCAGAATTTTTAATATCTCTACAGGAATTTCATTGGGACCTGGCGCTTTACCACTTTTTGAGATTTTATTTGCCTGTTTAACCTCTGATACCAGAATTTTTAGATTTTCATTAGTTGGTAATGTATCATTTATTTCTTCCCTATTATCTGCGAATAAGTCCTTGATGTATTTCTCCCAAGTTTGTTGTTTTTCTACTGCTGATAATTGGATATCCCCCTTGGAGTTTCGTATAACTTGTGGTATTCTCTTCCGATTATTTCCTGTAATTTCTTTCAGTTTCTTATGTAGCCCATGTGTGTCGTGTTTCATATTAAGTTCTTCTATTTCTCTACAATTTTCTACCATCCAGTGTTCTTTAGCTTCCTTGATCTGCGTTTCTACTAGTTTCTTCATTTGCTTGTACTTCTCTTTATTTGTATTTTTGTATTTTCGTTTTTCTTCTATGAGGTTTATAATATCTGGTGTCATCCAGTCTTTCTTGGCAATTGGTTCTTTTTTACCAACAAACGTTTTACCAGCGTTAAGTACTGCCGATTTCATTTCGTTCCAGGCACTATTAATATCTTTTTTCGAATGAACTAGCTTATGATAAAGTCATCCCAGGAACGCAACACAGCAATATTGGCAATATCATTTTAAAGTCGTCTACTGTAAAATGTATAATATATGTCCGAATTGTCAATAAACTTTAAATTGTTTATTGACAATTGTCAATTGTCTAAAATTCATTAAAAATTATTTTCATTAAAATAGTAATTACTTTAAGAGGCCACAAGAAAATAGCTTCAGAACTATATGTATCAAATCTATATAGAGAAAAATGTCATATCTTCGGCACAGGTTACAAAAGAAAAAATATAGTCTACCCAATATCATGCAGACATACAGGCCAAATTAACTTGTGTAAATTTGTAACTAATTATTTATTTTGGACCGACGTCTGTTTATCAGGACAAATTCAAAGAAAACCTAATTACGGGATTAGTCGATTATGCGGCACAAACTGCCTGAAAGGACAGTTGGCGAATATTGCGGCGAAGAATGTAGGTCCTCTACAACGTTTTTTCAAACGTGTCAAATTCACGAAAGTCGCGGGAGTCATGACAACGGTGTCGTCTTGAATAGAGGATCGAAATAAATAGTAGGAGTATTTATTTCGATTTAGTCCGAAATATAATTTCATATTTGGGATCAACTCAATTTTGCAGTCTTTCGAAACGTACCGAAAAAATATTTCAGATGTCTCCTTGTTAGATAAAGATCTGAACAAGTTTTTTCCGACGTAAAATATTTGTCATAATAAATTGGAAAAGTAAAAAAGTTTTTATCTGTAAAGTCAACTGTAACATCAAAAGATATGAAACATTAGGTGAATTTGGAAGCATTTTTACATCAATTATGTTAAACGATTTTTTTGATTTTATATTCTTTGTTTTAGCCACAGTCTGGAGCAAATATATAAAAGTAAGGTAGATAAAATGGTTACGGTTAAAAATAGATTAATAATAATAACACAGATGTAAACAAAAAATAATAACAAAATGGAAAATCCGAGTGGTTAGCTCTATAGCATAATTTAAATAAACGTATATACCGTAGGATCTCAATAGAAGTCTAGCATCAATTTTATCCCTTACGACTTCGAGGGTATTGAAAGTAGTTCAGTCGTCAGGGAGTTGACACCTAAAAATTATAAAAACAAGCTGAATTTTGTGGAGAATATTAATTTTAAGATCCCAAAAAGATGCAAAAAAATTTACCACTTTTACTCCCGGATTTTCCCCCTAAATCCCCATCGCAGGAGAGTAAAAACGCAAAAAAAATCGATTTACCAAGAATCTGGTGAGAAACCGTTCTCTTAGAAACAACGCTTGAAGCGACCGACGATTTTGGATGTCAGTTACGCGCGCGAAATCAATGTTCAATAAAATTTGTATCAGCTCGAAGGTAAAAATTCTTTGGAACTCTAAAGATCTTTTGAATCAAGTGACCTATCGACAAAAATCAAGATGCCTTTTAAAGGTAAAGAGTTTAGCTGTTTCAGTTAAGCTAAATGCGTCTGTTTCCATTAGATCATCCTATAACACTTCCCAAAGTGGTTCCCAAATAAGAGTTTTACGTTTATGCATGACTTGGCGCCTAGTTAGGCGCCAAGACAAAAACTGTTACAAAATTCCTTGCTGATAAACAGATACAATTGCTCGACTGACCTGGCTATTCACCAGATCTGAATCCAATAGAAAATCTTTGGATGCTCATAAAGAAAGGAATTTCTAATGAAATTATAATAACAAAGAGTCAATTGATCGAGCTCTTAATAGCAGTATGGCACAGGAGTGGGACAATTTCACAAAATTGCCAGAAATTCATAGAAAGTATGCCAAAAAGGTGCCAGGCAGTCATTGCTGTAAAGGATGATACTACCAAGTATTAGGCTTAAGATACGATTTTAAGTGTTTTTATGTATTTACTCGTTTATTTTAATATTTGTTAATTTTATAAGGTTCTAAATTACAGTAAAAATATAATTAAGCAAAAAGTAAAATTTTATGGGGTGCCTCTAATAATTTGATCACTCACTGTAGATTAGAATAGTTTATTTTTTTACCTTAAAACTGTAGGTTTTTTTATTTATTAGATTGCTTCGAGATTTTACTTTAAACAAACTTTACCCTGCGATACTGAATCCTAAAAGTTTTCAGTATCTGTGTAGAATCTGAGATTGTAGAACGTATTTTTTTGGTATAAATCTGATGAACCATGAAATACAGCGGAGAGCGTGTTTTCAAAGTTCGTGATTTATATTGTTTGCAGCAATCGCTTTTTGTTTTTATCATTGTTTGTGCGTATTTAGGGAACTATTTTTAAGATTAATACCGACATACATTGGTGTAAATTGGAATGAATTACATTTCAGTGAAAATTGGGTTCATAGAAGATTTTTAAATAAAATATATTCTGGAATATAAAAATAGATGTAACAATAAAACACTATAAACTTTGTTTTCAAACTTCCACAAAATTTATTTTAAACACTTATCACTACAGCTATTTCGGCTGATTGCATTTTGCAAGTCATCTATTTTTGGCATGCGTTTACACTTTATAGTCTCTAATGAAATAGGTTAAGGAAGGGAGAACTGTTTGTCTCAAGTTGGTCATTCAAAATTATATCTGTGCTTTTTAATTTGTTGATTTCCATAGATTCTAACAAGGATAGCTTAAGGCTTTTATTTTGAATCTGAAGAATTTTAAATTCGTCATTAAAAGAATGATTGTGATCTAGAAGGTGAAGTGCGTATGTAGAATCTGTTATTCTATTATTGAAAGCCCTTTTATGTTCTGCTATTCGTTTATTAAAGTTTCTACCAGTTTGACCGATGTAAGTTTTTGGGCAGTCGCCACATTTAAGTTTGTACACA